TATTTTGCCCCATTCCGCGTCTCTCATGTTCTTCGGCATTTCTTTGGAGGTTATATTGTATTCACGTACCCGACGCTGCAGTAAATCCTACAAATTTTCTATAGAATTTAAATATGGCGATTATGGTGATGTTTTGATTTGCTTGGGGACATTTTAAAGCAACCAAAGCTTTACAACTTCTGCAGTATGCTTTGGGTCGATATCTTGTTAAAGTAAGTAATTATTCTGTAACCCCAACTTCTCGGCACTGCTCTTTAAATTGCGTTTTAAAACATTTAAATAATCAGCTTTATTCATTTTCGACTCAATAAATTTAATTTTTCCCATTCCATTACTCGCCATACACCCTCGCACTATTACTCCTCCACTACCGTGTTTTACTGTTGGACACAAATATTTATTATTAAAGGCAGTACCCGGGTTTCGCCATATAATCGTTCAACCTTTACTGCTAAAGAGACAAAATATGCTTTCGTCTGAAAAAATTATGGGTTTCCAAAATTCTGGAGACTTATTTAAATACTCCCTTGCGAATGCTAAACGCTTCATTCTAATAGCTTTGGAGATAAGCGGCTTGCTTCGTGCAAACCAGCCATGGAAGTGGTATTTTTTTAATATTTTGTGTACAGTATCCACGTGAATTTACTTCTGGAATGTCTGGTCAATATATTTATATAACAGAAGTCCAGTTAGACGAGGATTATCTTTCACTGAATTAATAATGCTCTGGGTTTCTCTTCTTGACAGCTTGGATGGACGCCCAAATCGCAACATCGAGGTCAATAATATTGTATAGCTGTAGTTGTTTACTACTCTTTAGATAGAAGAATGTGACCGCTTAACGATTTGACCAATTTCACGATACATTTTCCTTTTTTTCCATAGATCAATAATAATACTGCTCTTACTAATAATAATTTTTTCCCTTTATTTGTCATTATAAATTTAATTACTTTTTAATCATTTAATTATAAAATAAGTGCTTGGGATTGTGTATAATGACATACCGGTTCAATAAAATATAAAGGACGCCAAAGTTCTACTGTTAAAACTTCGGGAATTCCCCTTTATATGTTCTGTACGCAGACTTTTTCTGCCACCGATAGCGCTGATTTTTTACATTTTTAATTACTATAATTTTTCTACTAATCTGTTAGAAATAAGTTTTAGCTTAAAATGAAGATAACGAATTAAAGTACAAATAAAAAATAAAACTGATTTAAAAAATCTATTTATTTAATAATATTTTTATTGTTGAAACAAACTTTACTTTCTGTACGCAGAGTTTTTCTGCTAAGTGTATATAAAAAAAAAAACTGAAAATAGTAAGCTAATAGTTTTAATTGTTCCAGTTTAACAGTTAAATAAAAATTTTTCAATGTATTGCAGGCTATGGAGACTAATGTTTTTACCAAAAACATAGAAATATAAAGACATGTAATTTGCCTCTGTTAAAAAAATCATGAATTTTGAAAAGGTACACGCAATGGGAAAAACATGTCTGTTCAAACATATAAACAATCGAACTTATTATTTTATGTATGATCAATGCTATTTTGTTAGTGAAGTCAGCAATCAAACCAATATATGTTGAATATGTTGTATTTTGCTTGGACAAAATCATATAGAAAAAACTCTAATATCAAAGCAAATGCACACATAGCTTCTAGTTCATGCGTATGTAAGTTTCTTGGTAAATTTTTTCTACTCTTCTTTTTATTGCACACTTACTAAATATATATATGCATGGGTAGGTGAGACAATATTTTTGAATGTGATGCTTGGATTTAGTTTGTGTGCTTTTCTTTTTCTTAAAATATATGACTGGCTTCGTGTGCATGAAATGCACAAGTCTTCCAAATTATTTAAAATTTGATTTTTGCTGATATTTTATACTAGCTTCATATTAATATATGATGTTTGCCTATGACATGATGGAAAACACCGGAGTAGCGCAACCACAGTTGTTATTAGTGTAAATGCTCTTAATATGTTTGGCTATCAAGACTCGGCTATGCAATACAGTAACAATAGTTTCATGAAGAATATTCATAAACACCATATTATACAATAATTGATTATTTTTTATATATTAAGTTTTTATTATTATATTCTTATATCAAATATTGAATACCACTTAATCTGAGGTGGTATCAATGTCTGTATTTGCTTACTTTGTTACACTGACTATTAGGCACATAAACCAATAATCAGGTAGTTAAGATGAAAGGCTTGCAGGCACATAAACCGCTAGCCAAGTAAGTAAATAATTTTTATTTTGTTTCTACAGTGGTTAAAAGGCACATCTACCAATAACCAATTTTTGATTGTGAAGTAAAGACGATTGTTTTCGCTTTCAATCTTTATTATTAATATTGTTTCCTTATATAGTATAAAATTACTTACTAAGCATAATAATAATTACAATTATTTGTGACTAAAATAATAATTAAAATTTCACATATTGCTGCATAAGCATAAATACAATATGTGAAGTTATTGAACTTATAAACGTAAATATTTACAATATTTATTTGCTGCATAAGCGTGATTACAAGCGAGCTAAAATATGTTAGGTTTGTTAAACTTAACATTCTGCCCGGCTTGAATTACGTTATTCAAGAATGAATCTATGAGCAATGATTAATTTGATTTGCAATGCATTATGTGTGTTTTTTTTTTAAAAAATCAAAAAAAAATAAAAAAAAAATAATTACAACATTTTGTGGATATATAAATACACATATAATTTTTAAACAATAAATAGTTATACAATATTATATAAACTTAAGAATATAAAATTTAGAGTTTATAGCATCATGAGAATTTGAGAAGCTATGTAATTGTTTCAGGCTCCAAAGTAAATCTTGTTCGTGGCATCGCGTTTGGTGTGAGAGTTTGTGTTGGCTGATTGACTTCTGGACGCTTTACCTGCTTTATTTTCCATATCATCCATATGATGGCTCCAACGACAAGAATTAGGGTTATGGAATTAATTGCGTAGTGGTGCATGCTGTCCGTCTGTAGTTTGTGTGGTAATTCAGCGAATTTTTCATCTTTCAGAGTATTGTGAAGTAGCTTTAACTGTTTAAGTTCATTGCTGAGATTCAATGAACTTCCTTTAAACTTTGACCATAATTCTGAGTTATTGATGACAGGTATCTCACCAAATGCAATGTAAGATTCATACATGGTGTCGGTAAGCGTTTGATGTGTCTGAATTGTAGACGTTTGGTGTTTGAGTACACAGTCGTCTTGTAATTTCAGCAGTGTTGCACCTTGTAGTTCTAAATGAGTCGTGATGCCCTTACAGACGGCCGTAACTGTTGTATTGTTTTTTGACCCGAATATCCATTGGTTCGCATGATACAGGGGACTCCAAATAATGTTCGATTTTGTTTCCTGCACATTACACGTATTGTCAGACCTGTGAGCCGGTGTTATATTTTGATTGTTTGTCTGAACAAAGTAGTTTGTTTTCTGGTTGCTTGAAAATCATACACTCCTTATACTGTTCACGAGTTAAGGCAAAATATTGGTCTCTATGTGGCGTGGCAGCTAAAAATGAAGCTTCTGGAACTATTGTCATCATTGTATTGTTGACTGTTGCAGGAATTGGGACGAGATTGAATAAATCGAAATCCTCATGATCGGTTAATGGCAGTTGTAAGACAACTATCAAATGATCTTGTGTGATTCCACTTTGTGAAGACATCAACGTGTATAAATGAATAACGTCCTCTTGATTAAATGGAAGACGAAGTGAATGAGGTAAATGGCCCTTGATCTTCATGATTTGGTCTTGAAGTTGTTGTGGAGACACCAAAAGAGAATTAATTCTGCCATGCTGAGTATCAGTTAAGACATCAAATATCGCAGCTTCAATTTTCATTAATGTATGTGCCATCCATGTAAGTTGGGTTACCAGTGATGTATAGATCTCTAGGTGGTTAATACGTTTAGTATTATGATTAGTGTAATCTACTATTTTGTTTGTCTCATCTTGTAGTTGATTCAGTTTGACTGCAATGGCTTCTGTAGTTTTGCTGAATATATTTATAGTTGAGTCCATGACTGTAGTCTGATTTTTGATCATTTTTGATAGTACATCTTCATTATTGTTGATTTGAGTTAGAGTTTTAGAAATCGTTTCAGCATATTCTGAATCTAAAACACCAAATAATTTGTTAGCAATATTTCCAACTATATTGATGGCTCCTCTGGCTGATCGGTGTCTCGTCATGACCTTCGTTTCAGTTCGTAACTCTATATTAGTATTATTGAATTGACGGACGAGCTCATAACAGCTTTCTTGTTGCTGTAACAATGGGCACAATTGCTGAAGTGCTGCTGTGCCATTTTGAAACCTTTCGATCTCCTTTCGAATAGGCGCGAACTCAAAGTAAGTGATAATTTTCCATCTTCCAATGATTTGATTTACGGTGCCAATTCCTTCAAAATATATTCCGGGTTTGTTTGGAAATGATATTTCTTCAATGGGTTTCGAAAGTATTAATGGTATCATCAAAATTGTCACAAGTATGGTCATCATTAAAGATGTGCCATCATATATCTTTCGACGCTTTGGCAACGCTTCACTAGGTTCATTCGTTCGTCTTGTTTGTGTGACAGTAGAATTTTGTTTTGTTGGATTTTGATTAATGCTGCCTTCAGTGGGTAGGGGGGCCAATGATCGTAATGGTCGTTTAAAAATCCCATTGGCTGTTTTTATGTCAGCTGCACGGACCAAACCATCTTCTCCTTCATACACCTGTTGCACCCTGCCGAGAGGCCATTTGTACATGGGTAGATTATCATCTTTTATAATGACTAAATCACCTTGGCATAGATTTGCCTTTTGTTGTTTCCATTTGTACCTTGATTGGAGTTCATTGAGATATTCCTTTGACCATCTTCTCCAGAATTCTTGTTTGAGTTCAGAAACTAAACGCCATCGTGATGATAAACTCATTCGGCTCTCCTTTTGATAAGGATCTACATTAGTGGTAGGTGGTTCGCCTATGAGAAAGTGTCCTGGTGTAAGCGCTGTCATTTGGATCGGATGACATTTTTGTTATTGGCCTTGAATTTAACATGGCTTCTATTTCAGTTATGACTGTTGCCAATTCTTCATAAGTCAATGAAGCGTTGAAAATTCCTTTAATCATTAAATGTTTAGCTGACTTGACGGCAGCTTCCCAGAGTCCTCCAAAATGAGGAGCTCTTGGTGGAATGAATTTGAAGTCAATTCCCTTGTTACTACTGGTCTTAATGATCTTTTCTTTTCCATTTTCTGAATAAATGGTAGACTGGAGCTCTTGTAGTTGGTTTCTCGCCCCAACAAAGTTAGTCGCATTGTCACTATAAATTGTTTGGCATCTTCCTCTTCTGCTGATAAAACGTTGAATAGCGGCTATGAATGCCTCTGTTGTCAGGTCACTCACTATTTCTAGGTGAACAGCCTTAGTCGCGAAACAGCAAAATACTGCTAAATATGCCTTTGTTGGCCTTTTTCCTCTAATTTTATAATGAATCCATATCGGACCACAGTAATCAACTCCTGTGGTAAAAAATGGTTTAGTTAGAGTAACTCGATCAGTCGATAAGTTGCCCATGAGTTGGTCCATCAGTTTTGGTTTTGCCTTTGAACAGATGACACAGCTGTGAACAATGTTTCGCGCCATAATCTTTCCTTTAATCGACCAGAAGTTTTGTCTCATTATGCTTAGCAATAATTGTGGAGCACAATGGGAATTTTCTTCATGTTTCATTTTGAACATCAATTTCACTATTGAGTGATTGTAAGGAATTACCATTGGGTGTTTAGCATCATATGGCAATGTTGATGCTTCAAGCCTTCCTCCAACACGAAGTACACCTTGTTCGTCAATGAACGGTGCTAAAGTATTTAGTTGACTCGAACTGTTGACTGCTTTACATTGTTTTAAATCAGAGATTTCCTTTGCAAATTCTGAGCCCTGAATAGTTTTAATTATGAAGACTAATGCATCTCGTAATTCCTTTGGAGAAAGTGTTCTTGTTGGTGATTGTGTGCGATGAAATACACGGCGAACATAAGCAATTGTTCTTTGGAGGTATCTGAATGAGTTTCGATGATCAATTTGATTTATCATGTGATCAGAACCAGTCGTTTGAATGATAATGTTAACTGTATGTCCTTGTCGTCTTTCGATATCAGTTGAGATGTTAAATGCCTTTGGGTTTGGCTGTTGCCAAAATTCGTTGCTTCCATGAAGAAAGAGTGGACCAAAAAACCATATATGTGAATAATTGAACATTTTAACCTTTATTCCTCTGGAAATGATGTCAGCAGGATTATCCTTTGATGCCACATGATGCCATTGATCAGCATGTGACATCTCTTGAATTTTGCTAATACGATTTGCTACGAATGTGTGCAATGAGGCAGATGAAGATATTATCCATGACAAAACAATTTTAGAATCGGACCAAAAGTAGGTTGGCACGTTTTGATACTTTAAATCTTGTTTAACTCTTTCTGCTAAATCGACTCCCAGCAATGCTGCGCAGAGTTCTAGTCGTGGAAGTGTCTGTTTCTTTAATGGTGCTATTCTAGATTTGGCGCACAATAGTCTCGATGTTATTGTCTTATCATTATATATTGCTCGCACGTACATAGCTGCTCCATATGCCTTCTCTGATGCATCCGTAAACACGTGTAATTGAATCGAACAGGGAACCGTCGAATTAAAAATATGTCTGGGTACTTTCACAGTATTTAATGTTTGTAAGTCATTTCTAAAACGCTTCCATTCTAGCTGAGCCTGAGGTAACAGTTCCGCATCCCAGAAATAGTTTTGTTGCCACAATTCCTGCATGAACATTTTAGCTGTTACAGTAATGGGGCCAAAAATTCCCAAAGGATCAAAAATTCGAGCTAAGTCCGATGCCACAATCCGCTTCGTGATAGGTTGCTCTGATGACATCTCTGCCTTACCGCAAAATTCGTCTGATTTCGGGAGCCAAATAATGCCTAATGTTTTTGTTGGCTTTATGGCTGAGTCATCTAAATCAAGGTTGATTTCTTGGTCTTCTATCGGAATGTTTTGTAGGAGTCGTGTATTATTTGAGCACCATTTTCTCAGCTTAAATCCTGATTTACTGAGCAGTTCCGTAAGTTGTTGTTGAGTGTGTAAGGCGGTAATGATGCTGTTAGTTCCGCTTAAACAGTCATCTACATAAAAATCATTAAGTAATGCAGGTGCTCCAAGCGGATAGTTGGTCATATTATGTTTTGCAAGGTGTTGAAGACATTTTGTTGCAAGATAAGGGGCTGACTTTGTTCCATATGTAACCGTTTTCAGTCGGTAATATTGTATACTATCATCAGCACTTTTTCTCCAGATTATCAGCTGCTGTGCTGTATCTTCATCATGTACTTGAATTTGCCGGTACATTTTCTCAATATCGGCCGTAAATACAAACCGGTGTATTCTAAAACGCAACAGTATTGAAAAAAGATCACTTTGCACTGTTGGACCTTTGTGCAAAATATCGTTTAGTGCTAAACCGCTTGATGTTTTTGCTGATGCATAAAAGACAACTCTCAATTTGGTTGTAGTGCTGTCAGGTTTCAAGACACAATGATGAGGAATGAAATATTGTGCTCCTTTGACATCTTTCGGGCAAACTTTTTCCATGTGACCTAATGACTCATAGTCATCCATGAACTTTATGTACTCCTTGTATAAATTTGGGTCCCTTTGTAACTTCCTTTCCAGAGAACAAAATCGATTGAATGCTATCTCACGCGATCTACCAAGTGTTGTGGGATCTTCGCGGAAAGGTAAGCGTACAATGAAACGACCATCGTGATTTGTCTTTACATGATTTGTAAAGTGATTTTCACACCATTTCTCAGATAAAGTCAAAACCCTTTCTGCAGTCTCAATGTTATCTAACTTCCAAAATCGTTCTATCATTTCTGACATTTCACCAACTTCTCCTGTAGTAATAGCGCATGTTGGTTTAATATCTGTTGTAGTTTTAGTCTTACCAACCACCAACCAACCTAGAACCGAATTTTGTAACAGTGGCGAATTCTTTCCTATTATCAATTGTTCTGTATGATATTGTTCTGTATGAGTACAGTATGATAGAATTCAGCACCAATCAGTATGTCAATTCGTCCAGATCTGTTAAAGCTGGGGTCTGCTAATTCTACATTCTGTGGGATCTGCCAATCCGAGATATCTAGGTCTCGTGACGGTTGTGGTGATATTATTTGTGGCAGTACAAATGCCTCTAGTCTCGTCCTGAAGCTTCCATTAGTAGCCTGCAGTTCAACATTTACGCGAGATTTTGAGTTCCCGAATTGACGGCCAATACCTTCGATCGATAGATTTGAATTTGTGGTAATTAAAGATAACTTGTTGATTACTCTTTGGGTTACTAGGTTCACTTGAGACCCTGAGTCGAGTATGGCACGAACATCACACGTTCGTCCATTGTTTGCAATAATGCGCACCTTTGCAGTGGCTAGCAGAACGTAATTACGAGTACACTTTGCATTAGTTGTTGCTGTTATGGATGGCGATTCATTAGCGTTGATCAATGTTGTGGTTGACTTTGTGTTTGTTGTTGGTGCCCTTGAAGGTTTAGGTGACTGTTGCTCTAAATGGAGCAAAGTGTTATGCTTCTTGGCACATTTTTTACATGATCCAGCTTCACAAACCTTTGCTTTATGATCGGATTTGAAACAATTCACACATAGTTTTTGTCGTTGAATCCAATTTAATCGTTCAGGAGGAGTCATTTCAATGAACTTTTTGCAATAGTAGATCGGATGTTTATCTGTATTACAAACTTTACATAGATCTGAACAAACCATAGTTACGGCTATCCTTTTGTTGGGTTTATATACTGCATTGTCTCGTAGACCTATAGCCTCAAGTGACTGAAATCTCAATTCTAAAAATTCTAAGAATTGTTTTATTGTGGGCATCTCCTTTGGGTTGGTAAGAGTTTGTTCAAAACTGCAATGTGTATTTTTATCCAATTTTTTT